AGCGGGGTGAGGAGGCTGGGGGGGTGGAGAGTAGTCCCGCGGCCTCGCGGCTAGTACCTGTACAGTGTCACTAGATCCGTACACCAAATTCCTTCCGGATGATCTTCAAGGATGTTTCTAATTTCATTTTTTAAGTCTTCGAAGTGTATCCCTTTAGTACTGCTTCCACCTGTAAAGAGGAAAACATAGTCTATTGAGACAAGAGCAATCCTTTATTACTATATGCAACAAAATGGGTTCATGGCCCTATTTCTTTCAATAATAAAATAATTTTACATAATGTTACTAAAACCATGAACTCCACAATCACCGTTAGTGAAATCGATAAACATTTATTAAAAATAACATCAAATTAAAACAAATTGATCTAAGATATTTGAGATCAATGTTCGCAAAAAAACAGTGGTAGAGCCCACTTTAACAACTTCGCACTGCCGGGCCGGCTCGCCCCTACTAATACCACGACCGAGATGATAAAGCATGCTCTACCACTGTTAAAAACTGGAAACATGATAAATATAGACATAACAGTAAGTAGCAAGCACTGACTGGAGAGAGTAAGGCGGCCCGAGTCGTTGTCTCCGCGGGAGGAGTCGGAGTCGCGCGGTTGCGGCGGCGGTGAGGGGGCGCCGGCGCCCAGCGGTGAGGGGGCGCCGGCGCCCAGCGGTGAGGGGGCGCCAGCACCCAGGGGGGAGGGTGTGCCGGCGCACAGCGGCATGCGCCTCTTCATGAACTTCTCCAATGCACTTTGTGATGTGGCATTAGTGAAATAATTGTTCACCATGTCTCCACTACAATTACTTTCTAATGCTTTGTCGTCTTTATCTGAATCTCCCTCTCCGGAGCTCTCCCCTTGTTGCATTATGTTCATTCCTGATTTATTGTTTTCTTTTGCAATAAACGTCTTTGAAATGAGATTATTTGAAGACACTGTCTTCGGTGCGGTGACACTCCTTCTCTTTCCTTTGCTGAAAAATGATGTTCATTTTAAATAAAAAACCAAAATAAAATAGTATCCAAAAATAAAAAAATGTTGTCTGTCTGTCCACAAGCCGCGTCCGTTCCGGCCAATCTCAGAAACAGGAGGGACGATTTTGAAGGGGGGCTTTCATTGGATGGTAGCTAACATGGACGAGTGTATTATAGACAAATTTTTTTTAAATTTTGAGCTGTCAAGAAAGCGAGCGGTAGCTACCGGAATACTTACTGCTTCACAGTATTAGATACTTTCTGTTTTTGTACAAACTTATCAATATGCTTCAATGTGTCCGGCACAATGAGGGTCAGCACGGGGTTGCGTGGATCGCCGTGAAACTGTGCAAGTTATCACATAACAATATACATAAAACATAAATATATCTATATTTAAAAAGCTTTCTAAATAATTCTTTTTTAAGAAAAGGCCATATCCTACACAAGTTATCTACACTATGTGTAGGAAGCAGTTAGTTAAATTTTTGTAGAAATAAATTTTCACTACTAAGATGCCTCAGCTCCCAACATGTAACATGACTAGTTAATGCTACATTGTGGCAAGTTACCTTAAATTTTTATTTTAAGACGTAACAGAGTATTGCTTGTCGCTGGATTGCGATTTGGCTTGATACTTAGTGCAACAATAAGTGAATTGGACATATAAATTAATCTGCATCTTATCATAGCTTGAGAACAAGTTGCGCTCACCAGGAAACAATCACTACATCTTTCTCTGAGGAAGTGCACTGGATCCTTGTAGCCGAGCTTGGCAATGGGCACTGCTCTGCCCACTATGCTGCGGTAATCTCTCATTAGTGTTCGCACATCCACCTGTGTAGGACTGGACACCACTAATGACCGCAATACTGACTTTAGCTCTTTTATCTCATCCTCCATTATCACTGTATTCTAGAAACAGTAAAATCAAAGAATTATTTTATAAAATACATCAAACTATACAGCTACTTCAAGCATTTGTATTTTTGACAACCTACATCTGAATTATCACACTTCTAATGACCACTTTTTATAATAAACAACATAATGATATTTGAAATAAATATGATATCAAACTATAGTTGGTACAAGTGGTCACAAGAGGGTACACATAAATCTTTGTGCCCCAAGAATGGAATTGTTTTTGTTGGTACAGTTATTTATACCATATTTTTATAATGGATCTTTGGTATGATTATATAGCGTTTATTAATTGGAAAATTTGTTTATTTCTATACCGTTTGTCATTGATATTACTAATCCGATAACGTTTTAACGTAATTCAGCAATTGTATTTTTTTAAAGCAAATTTTATTGTCATCATAGACAAAGCTTATTAAGTATTAAATTCTATCTTCGTCGTCTAATGCACATGCATTGGGCACCAGCGGGCAAAAGCAGTCATATTCAAAGGAATATGAGTAACTGTGTTTTACAAAATTTAACTTTTTTTTTAAACTTACATTTGCAACCTTAAGTAAACTAAGTCAAAGGAATATTACGTCTATTTTTTTATACTTACACAATACCTGGAAGACCTAATCATAGGAATTTCTCATACTTAAAACTTATTGAAACAAAAACTTAACTATAGAAACCCTTAATTACAGTTTTAGTTAACTTTATAATAAACATCAACAAATGAATAGTGTAATCATTTTAAGAGCTCAATTATAAGATTATAAGTCGATGTAAAATTTCACAGATTTAACAACGTTTTAATAAGCGGAGTAAAACTAAAGTATAAAACACAATGTTTTTGTTAAAATATGTACTGTTCTGTCTGGTTCTAGTTCGAGTTCGATTCGACATTTGAAAACTGAACCATCGACATCGACCAAATATAGTGTCGTATTGTGGCACCTTTTTGACATTGTCAGGATGGCGCCTCTGAGCATTTAGAGTTACCAGCAAGCTAATATGTCCGCATTAAAGGGAAATTCATTCCTTTTAAAAACGAAAACGCAAATTGTAAAGGAAGTACTTGTACCTTACGGTGTAACTAAGAAATGCCCCAGACTTCGTTTGTCGGTTAGAAGGCTCTATAGTTAAAGAATCTTTGTAGCAAACTTTTAGCAGTGCACTCTCTTGACACAGTTAGGGAAGGAATAGTCTTAACATAATAGAAATAGTCTTACTTAGCGCTCATCTACAAAATAATAGAAATCTTAATTATTATTGTTTATAATCAACGCACAGTACACCTATGTGGTTAGTTTTTGATACGTTAATGAATACACACAGTAATTTCCTTATTACGTGAGTAAATATTAAATTTATGTCACGAAGGCCATACTTCCAGGTGCACAAAACACGTTACAATAAAGGTTTGGTCACTGCAATTTGAAATAGGAAATAAAATAACTTGCAGCAAAATATTTTTAAGTCAATTAGTGTATAACATTTTTTTTTTTAAATTACAAGTCTAAAAATATGCGTCGTCTCGAGAGTTAGGGAATTTCTTGATAGTAAAATGTAAATGACAAATGGTAACAAATTCTGTTTGCAAATTGCATCAAACACAAGATGATTCACATTTTCAAATGTAATTACTGGACTCCCTACTTCTTCTCAGCGATAAAAATATCTCCCACTTAAAAAAAAAAAACTTTTTTGCACTACTTTTAAACACTTTCATCAATTTATTTCATGGACTGAAATTAAAAAGCTATGTCACTATTACGCTACATTTGCATAAAAAAAGTCATAAAAATTGAAAAGAGAGAAAGTAGGAACAAACTCTCAAACGAAAGTTCCTTTCTCTCAAACCCTCTCAAATGATTAGCATAAAAAAAAGAAAGTGAGGAAGCTAACTTCACGGAGGTTCAATCTTATTTAGACAAACTATAGATAATATTAGATAGTTAACATCTGTCCAATTGACGACTGTAATCTGTGCTTCACATTGATATCTGATCTGTCTGACTGACAGCTGACAGACATAAACATTGCGTTTAGTGTCGCACTTGTTTCTACTATAACTGCAACGAAACGAATTACGTAAGGAAAAATCTTTAAGATGTCCTTCTTTTTAAAACGCGCCATGAGCGCCAATTCTCAGCTGGGACGCACATTATTAAAAAATGCGTCAGTGTCATCTATGCAGCCCGTAGCTTCGAAGACAGATGAGGCGGCACCGCAAATGGAGACTCGACCAACTGTGGCCAAAGTCGACCCTTTACAAAAATCCCAACTTGTAGAGTTTGGCAAGTATGTTGCCGAATGTTTACCCAAATTTGTACAGAAGGTCCAACTTACTGCGGGGAATGAATTGGAAATTCTAATACCTTCAGATGGCGTTATTCCTATTCTACAATTTTTGAAAGACCATCACAACGCTCAGTTTGCCAGTCTCGCTGACATTGCCGGCATGGACGTGCCCAGTCGTCCCAATAGATTCGAGATCATTTACAATTTGTTGTCCTTGCGCTACAACGCCAGAATCCGCGTCAAAACGTACACGGACGAGTTGACGCCGGTGGACTCTGCGTGCGATGTTTTCAAAGCTGCCAATTGGTATGAAAGGGAAATATGGGACATGTATGGAGTCTTCTTTGCCAACCATCCTGATCTGAGAAGGATTTTGACCGACTATGGATTTGAGGGTCATCCATTTAGAAAAGACTTCCCCCTCAGTGGTTATGTTGAAGTTCGTTATGATGATGAACAGAAACGTGTGGTGGTGGAACCTTTAGAGCTGGCACAAGAATTTAGACGCTTTGAGTTGAGCGCACCGTGGGAACAGTTCCCCAACTTCAGAGGCAACCCCGCTGCTGAGGAGGTCACTGATGCCACTCAGGCTAAAGAATAATAGTTTATATTCTAAAAGTAAACTCAAAGCAATATATACAAATATATTTCAGTGAGTTTCTGTTTTATCAGAAGTTTAATTTCAACTTAGGTGTAGAGTTAAAATATGATAATACATTTTGTGATTCCAAATGTGATTTTTAATTTAACTTAGCATATCTGATCCTTTGAGCAGCTTTCTAAAAAAAATCCTAAACCCTACATACCCACAAAATGGACTTTAAAATGCATAGGCACAGTATTGCATACTTAAAAAAATGACTAACCTGCTGACTACTTCTTTTCTGGACAAAATGTCTTCAGCATTCAAGGTGACACTGTGACAATGACACTCCTTTCCTACTAAAAGATACTCTTGGGAATGTGTCTATACTAATAAAATAAATTTCACATCATTGAAGCTAGTTTTCATGATAAAAGAATAAAAACATCAAAACAAGTAGTGATCCAAAAATAGTCTTTATTGTAATGGTGATAATACATATTAACAACATATCTGGCTCGGTATCGCGCGTGGATCTCTCAACAAGTGTATCATATGAATGATACAAAAAACTATTCAAAGTAGTGACATCAAGATCGCAATCGCGCTATATATCTGATATAGTAATTCCTACGGTTATTTTAATGCTTTATTGACAATCACCAAAACGCAAGAGTAATAAAACGTAAATAGATGAAGTAGGAAGGGTAGGGGGTCTAGCGGCGGTAGCGGTAGCGCTTGAAGTGGAACCAGAGCTGGAAGATGTTGTTGTGGAAGTGGCAGCGGAAGCCGCGCTTGTAGGAGTACTCCCACTCGCGGCTGACGATCTTGAAGGCGATGTCCTCGTAGGGCGGGCCGGCGTGGAAGCGCAGCACGGCGAACTCGGCGTCCGCGCCGCCGCCGCACGGCTGCAGCGAGAACTCGGGCGTGGCGCTCTTGTCGATCAGGTCGGGGTAGAAGATGTTGAACTTGTAGCCCTGCACGATCTTGGGCGGCGGGTTGTCCATGTCGTAGTGCGTCTGGTTGTACTTGTTCCACTCGAAGCCCGTGTGCACCCTGCGCAGCGCCGCGCGTTATATATTCCGCGTGGAATTAAAAAAATAAAGTGAGTAGCCTATGTGTTTTTCCAGACTATCTACGTCTGTTGCTAAATTTCATCGACATCTGTTCGGCCTTTTAGGCTACAAACTTCATCAAATATCGATTCATCCATCTAAACTTTTGCATTTATGTTAGTAATTTATTTTAATTCTGTGTAAATTACTGAATTTAGTGGATTACAATCGTTTTACAAATATCTATGAAGCTGTGTGTCGCCGCCGTTGTGAAGCCCTTCGTACACGAAGCTACACAATCTTAGCGACGCAACAAAATCAGAGTTTCGTACAGACAAGTCCGCGACGTAGAATTATGACATCGGATTGCGTAACCCACTGACAGACTAAAATGGCAGATTTGCATGGGCTCGTGTAGGAAGCGGCGCGGGGCCGAGAGCGTACGAGAGCGTACCTGTTGAAGTATCGCGGCTTGCGCGGCCGGTACTTG